CCGCCTGGGTCGGCAACTGCGCTCCGTGCTCTTCCAGGACTTGAGAACTACACTGAGTCAAAGCACTGTCTGCAGTGCTTGAAACCGGGCACAGGCACTATGGGCGCCCCACGGGCTTTCTCACTTCAGCTCAGCAGAACCACCAGAGGATTCGGCCTCCGACCTACGTCTTACGACGAGGAGTTCGAGACGAGCCGTAACTTGCTCACGGCCAAACATGTTGATGACATCAACCTGGCCGGTACTGAGGACACGATTGACAAGTATGTCAAATGAGCTGAGGATACCTTTGGGAAGTGTAAACTCAACAAGCGCACATATACGAAATGCGCTGTGAGGTACACCAAGGATGAGGACGGCAATGCCACTTTGGATCCAGATGAATATATTTAACAGCTCCGTTCTATACAACGTCCTGAATTGACCGGTGCTGACGCTGACGGTTAAGCGACCGAGATGGTGGCATATATGTTCGTCCGCCTCAGAGGTGTGCTGGCATACGCATTGATCACCCAGATCTGGTTGATGGTCTATTTTGTATCTCTCCAACGCGTCCAAGAACCGACCAACATTCAAGTGCGACGATCGAGCGCGATCACCAGAAAGCTACAGGCCTGCCCGAAGGATATCGTCTACCAAGCGATGAGCCCCACGGGCGAGGTCAACTTACGTAGCGACTCAGGCTATCGACGCCTGAGTGGAGACGCCGACGACGACGCCAATGGCTATGGCATTCGCTGGGCACGCCTGCTACGACGTGGAAACACGCCGTCTGGCAAGCCTGCCGTTCACTTGATTGATGCGCACTGCAAGTCTCACCGCTCGCAAGTCCGCTCAAGCAACTCAGCAGAGACACTTGCAGCAGCCCATAATTTTGAGGACTGTTCTCCCACGATTGTGACTCAGCACGAGCTCCATGCGGGGCCACTCGCACCCACTCAGTTGAAAGACATACTTGGGGTGGGTGGCCTGAGCATCAATGTCACCTTGGCCATCGATGCTGAGTCTGTCTTTAAGCCCTTGTCAAGCAAAGACTTGAAGAAGCCGACTGAGTGCACCCTTTTAGGACACATACGTTAGATACGACAGATGATGGAGCGCGGAATCGTGCGTAGCATTGAATTGTGTGACGCCCGCGATATGACTGCGGATTGACACAAGAGAGAGCATTGACAGAGAAACGCTCCTACAAGTCATGGGAGGTATACAGACCTTCAAACATGACCTGAAGAGACATACGCCATATCGGGCTGGCCTGACATCCAGGTCGAACGCCGCCTGATGCGTGTGCCCTACATCCGCGAGGCAATTCGCTGACGGGTCCAGCTCCTTTGGGTCCGTCTCCTTTCCTGTCTTCGTATAGGTTAGCTGCTGAACTGTTCTCGCTATATGCGTGGCGGACACACGCTTCGCCTCCCTCCCCCCCCCCCCCGACTCTACAGCGAGCTAGGGGACGTAAGGAGCGGACGCGAGCGTGCGCCCGCGGCCGTCTTGGCTCAAAGCGGCCGGCCGCCTAGATTTGACTGTGCCTCACCGCGAGGCACACTATCGCTATCGAGACTAAAAGGCATCCCCCTTTACTTCACATGGCTTCCCCTCTTGCATTGAGACTATCGCTACTACGATACAACCGAGCTCGAGCTTGGCTTCTCCTGAGGCGAAACTGTTGGCGGGGCCTCCCAGCCCCCTTCAAACTTCTTGAGCGTCTTGGAGGCCTCTTGGGCCTTTTTGGGGGCCTCTTGGGGCCGTCTTGGGCCTCTTGGGCGATATTTGGGGGCACTTGGGCCGTCTCGGGCCGTCGGAAGGCCGAACAAAGCAAATGCCACAACCCTTGAACAACTCATGGGAAATCAATGATTTTGTCATTTTTTTCGGGCCTTCCTGGAGGCCCTCTTGGAGGCCGTCTTGGGCCATCTTAGTGCCATCTTCGGCCGTCGTGGTGGGCCCCTGGCCCGTCCGACGCCGTCGGAAGCCGTTTGGGGAACCTCTCTGAGCCGATTTGGGGCCCCTTTAGAATGCTCCAGGGCCGTCTTGGAGGCCATCTTGGGCGTCTTAAAAGCCTCCTGGGCCGTCTTTGTGCCCTCTTCGGGCCGTCTTGGGGGCCTCTTGGGCAGTCTTGTGGGTATCTTGGAGGCGATTTTTGGGCGATCTTTGGCGTATCTTGGGCTGTACCGGGCCGTCGGAAGGCCGAAGCGAAGCAAATGTCAACATCCTTCGAAAACCTATGGAACATCATAGATGTCGGCTTTTTGTTGGCCTTCCTGGAGGCCCTCTTGGAGGCCTCTTGGGCCGTCTTGGGCCAGCTTCGAACCAACTTCGGCCATCTTGGTGGGCTCCTGGCCCGTCTGACGCCGTCGGAAGCCGATTGGGTGGCTTTCCTGGGCCGAGTTGGGGCCCTCTTGGGGTGCTCCAGGGCCGCCTTGGAGGCTATTTTGGGCGTCTTGGAGTCCTCTTGGGTCGTCTTTGTGCCCTCTTCGGGCCGTTTTGGGGGCCTCTTGGGCAGTCCTGAGGCTATCTTGGAGGCCTCTTTGGCGCTGTGGGGGCGATCTTGGGGGCCTCTTGGGCCGTCTTGGATCGTCGGAAAGCCGAGAAGTAGCGAATGCGAAAATCCTTCGAAAACTTAAGGAACATCAGCGATTTTGGCCTCTTCGGGCCCTCCTGGAGGACCTCTTGGAGGCCTCTTGGGCCGTCTTGGAGGCCTCTGGGGGGCCTCTTGGGCCGTCTTGGGCCGTCTTGGACTCTCTTAGGCCGTCTTGGAGGCCGTCTTGGACCATCTTGGGCGGACTTGGAGGCCATCTTGGACCATCTTGGAGGTCATCTTGGGCCAACATGGCCATCTTGGAGGCCATCTTGAGCCGTATTGGAGGATTTTGTGTGGACGCTGATGCGGTTTACGCAGCCTTCCGGGAGCCTGGCGGAACGGGCCGAAGCCCCAGGGGGAGTTCTTTTGGAAAAAGAAACAAAACCGATAGGATCTAGCACGCCAGGCACCACTGCGATGAATCGACAGGGGGCGGCGGATCGAAGACGCCTACGGCGAATCACCGCCGCCCCCTGCCTTTTTGGAAGTACCTATGTGGCCGAACGTTGAGGCCAGACCTGCCAAGCTATCGGATCATGTGTTCCCCGAATAGGTTTGGAAAGTTTTCGGGGAACACATGGGCATCTTGAAGGTCATCTTGGCCGTCTGGAGGCCATTTTGATCCTTTCGGGCCTTCTTGGAGGACGTCTTGGAAGGCTCTTGGGCCGTCTTGGAGGCCATCTTGAGCGTTTTGGAGACCTCTTGGGCCGCCTTGGGGGCCTTTTGGGGCCGTCTTGGGGATCTTTGGGGGCACTTGGGCCGTCTCGGGCCGTCGGAAGGCCGAAAAAAGCAAATGCCACAATCCTTGAACAACTCATGGGACATCAATAATTTTTGCCTTTTCTGGCCTTCCTGGGGGCCATCTTAAGGCCATCTTCGGCCGTCTTGGTGGGCTCCTGGCCCGTCTGGCACAATTTTCAGCCGTTTGGGGAGTCTCTCTGGGCCGACTTGGGGCCCTCATGGAATGCTCCAGGGCCGTCTTAGAGGCCATTTTGGGCGTCTGCAAGGCCTCCTGGGCCGCCTCTGTGCCCTCTTGGGCCGTTCTGGGGCCATCTTGGAGGCCTCTTGGGCGATCTTTGGGCGATCTTTGGGGCCTCTTGGGCCGTCTTGGGCCGTCGGAAGGCCGAAAAGAAGCAAATGTCAACATCCTTACAAAACCAAAGGGGAATGCGTGTTTTTGGCGTTTTCTGGCCTTCCTGGAGGCCTCTGGGAGGCCTCTTGGGCCGTCTTGGGCCAGCTTCGAGCCGACTTCGGCCATCTTGGTGGGTTCCTGGAACGTCTGACGCCGTCGGGAGCCGTCTTGGGGGCCTCTCTGGGCCGACTTGGGGCCCTCTTGGGGCGCTTCGGGCCGTCTTCGAGGCCATCTTGGGCGTGTTGGAGGCCTCTTGGCCCGTCTTGGGACCCCCTTGGGGCCGCCTTGGAGGCCTCTTGGGCCGTCATGGGGTCATCTTGGAGGCCTCTTGGGCGATCTTGGGGCGACCTTGGGGGCCTCTTGGGCCGTCTTGGGCCGTCGGAAAGCCGAAAAGGCGCAAATACCAAAATACTGCAACAACCTAAGGACAAACAATGATTTTTGCCTCTTCGGGCCTTCCTGGAGGACCTCTTGGAGGCCTCTTGCGGGCCTTTTGGGAAGTCTTAGACCACATTGTGGCCATCTTGGGCCGTCTTGGATAAATCTTGGGGCCATCTTAGCCGTCTTGGAGGCCATCTTGGCTGTCTTGGAGGCATCTTGGAGGCCATCCTGGGCCATCTTGGCCGTCTTGGGACCATCTTGGGCCATCTTGGGGCGGAACAGGAATTGACTTCCGCAGTTTCTGGGAGGCCGGCGGGACGGGCCGAAGCCCCAGGGGGAGTTCTTTTGGGAAAAGAGCCAGAACCAAAACCGTAATGGCACCCCTTCGATGAATCGACAGGGGGCGGCGGATCTATTGGGTTTCAGCCCATCCCGCCACCGTGCCTGTCTCGGGGCCCTCTTGGCCCGGTTTGGGGCGTGCTCGTTCCCAGAGAGGCACGCGGGGAGCGCAGAGGAACAGTGGGAGGCACGCTTGGAACGCCAGAAAATTTGAGAATTTGGGGCCCAGGCCCCAGATTCTCAAATTTCAATCCTGAGGGCTGAGGACTGAGAACTTCAAGGAACATGATGGCACTCCAACTCGTGCCGGGCGGACGGCGGCTGATTATAAGACAGTCGGGGCGCTGAAGAAGGCACCCTTTTCTTTGGGGAGGGGCTCCGTGCTCCTTCATTGTTGTACAGTTTGCCTTCCGTTTTCCTTAGGTGTTCGATGGGAAGCCAAAGTTCAGGGGCCTCGTTTCTTATTTGAATTAGGGTTCCTTGGGTCAACGCCCCGACTGCATCCCGGAAAGAGAGCTCCAAGGGGCCCGAGGACATTGCGTTTCGTGCCTCGAGGCGCGGTGGCGGATTTCTGCACGCGATGACATCACGGATGGTCGTTGTCACCATTCGGGGAGACGTAAGACTTGAGTGAGCCGGAGCTCGGGTTTGCCGGCGTCTTTTTGTTGACGAGCGCGTTTTGGGTTTTGACGGTCCAGTTTTCGCGGGATGTCAGCAGCGGGAGCTCGTTTCGAATTTCAGGTTGGGCCTCGTCATTTTTATGATGGCCCCGTCAGGTCAGCCTGAGTCCCCCGTACCCAAGTCTTACGTCTCCCCGAGCCATGTTTTCGTTTTTCTTCGTCGCTGGGACCGCAGAGTGGACTTCGCAAAAGGAGGGCGAGAAGATTGCGGCGGACGCCAACAGGTCGAAGAAGAAGCTCGCAGAGATTGAAGCGATCAGACGGTCTTCGAGCGACGCGGATCTGCTTCTGAAGAACAATACGCACATTTTGGGGATCATCAATGAGACCTTGACCAGACGTAAAAGCGCAGACGTGAGAATACTTCACAAGATAGAGGGCCAAACGAAGGTTTTGGAGCAGGACGCGAAGGTTCGATCAGAGAAGAAGGCGGCCCTGAGCAGTGCCACTGACAAGGCATCGCGGGCTTCCGCGGCTGCCAAGCAGGCGAGGCACGCCCTGGAAGAGGCGAACCGCACCTTCGCGCGCAAGCTGGCGGACAAGCGGAGCGTGGAGGCGGCTCTTTCTGCGAATTTTTGTTGTTGATGGGGCTTCCTGTCGAGCCGACGTGATCCTGACCCTCGGAGTAGGAAAACGTGCCCATACCGCTACCCTCGCCTCGTTTCTGTCTTTTGCTCGGCCTCCTGAGAGGCCCTCGTCGCCACCGCCTGATTCGCCTCGAAGTTCCGGTCAGAACGCACCCTGGGAGAAGTCCGGGGAGCAGCGGTATCGGCACCTCTCGGTTTTTCCAGTTGAACCGACGTGATCCTGACCCCTGGCGCGCGAGGGCACCCAATTGCGCTTCCAGATTTATGATGTTCCAACATACTTTAGCCTTGACCACCAGAAAGAATTTCGAGCACCAGAAGCAAGTACCGAAACTCGATTGTTTTCACGTGTCGGGCTCTGGGAGACACTCGCCCGACACTCTTTCGACACTTATCTGGGTGCTCGAAATTCTTTCTGGGATGTGGCCCGCCCTAAAGCACAATGGGAGCAACATAATTCCAGACTCCACCCTACCTCGCCAGATCCAGACCAGAATTCCTAATCCAAGCCGTCGATTTCGCGGGGGAGGTCAGCGCAGAGCTGGCCACCGAAGGCCGCGTGTGGGGGGGGCGGCAAGGAATGGGGCGGGGGTAGGCGGGGGGCTAGTGGAGCTTGGGAAGGCAAGCGGAGGGATGGGTAGATGAGGGGGAGGGAACGGTGCGCAATATTTGGAGGGTGTATCTGTTTATATTCCCTACCTAGGCTCTGCCTAGAAGGGTTCTTACTCTCTAGCTTAAAGGGGCCGGGCAGTGGAAGGCGCCCCGGGCGGTTCCCCCAGTCCCCGCCCCGCGGTTCCCCCCAGTCCCCTGGGAGCTTTAGCTTTAGCTTTAGTTTTAGCTTAGCTTTAGCTTAGCTGTAGCTTAGCTTTAGCTCAGCGTTTCGCTTAGCTTTTCGCTTAGCGTTTAGCTTAGCTTTAGCTTAGCTTTAGCTTAGCTTTAGCTTAGCTTTAGCTTAGCTGTAGCTTAGCTTTAGCTTAGCTTTAGCTTAGCTTTAGCTTAGCTTTAGCTTAGCTTTAGCTTGGCTTTAGCTTAGCTTTAGCTTAGCTTTAGCTTAGCTGTGGCTTAGCTTTAGCTTAGCTTTAGCTTAGCCTTAGCTTAGCTTTAGCTTAACTTTAGCTTAGCCTTAGCTTAGCTTTAGCTTAGCGTTACTGTTACTACTAATGCTGCTTTCCTAGGGGTTCCAACTCCTAGGTAGGGTCGCACTGGGATAATTTGTATAGAAATGCCGGATCTGACCTGATCTCTGGCGCGCGAGCGGGGTTGGGTCCGGAGCGCTCCTGGAGGGCCCCAAGGTCGCCCCAGAAGTCCCCAAGAGGGCCCCAAGACGGGCCAAGAGGGATCCAAGAGGCTTTTCAGACGGTCCCAGAGGGCCCCGAGTCGCCGAGCGATCGGTCCAATACGCTCGAGATAGCCTCCAGACGGCCCATGAGGCATCCAAGACGTCCCCAGAGGTCTCCAAGAGCCATCCCAAGAGAGCTCCGAGAGGCAAACATCCCATTCCATTGGGAAAACATGCATTTTGATCATCTGCATTTTTTCAGCCTTCACAGCGTCCAAGACAGCCCAAGAGGCCTCCCAGATCACCCCAAGAGGGCCCCGAAGCGTCCAAGAGGGCCCAAAGGCTGCCCAAGAAACGCCCAAACCGGCCCGAGAGGGTCCTCAGAGGGCCTTCAACGGGGTCCGACAGGGGGAGCTCGAAATGTGATTTCGAGGGGCGCGAGCACAGTTTGGTTTACGATGGGTCGTGGACTCGGGGACTTGAACATTCGAAACTTTACAGGGAATCGCGGCCTCGGAGACGCAAATGTTCAATGATTTACGAATGATCGTGGCCTTGGGAACGCGAATATAAAGTAAAGTACTAAGGATGTTTGCTTCGGCGACACGAATTTTGTGTAATTTGCGAGGGATCTTGTCCTCTGGGACGCGAATATCGTGAATATGCCAGGGGTCGTGACATCGGAGTTGCGGTAATTTTCGTGGTTTCGGGGAGGTGCGTATTCTCTGAAGTTTCGGAGACGCGGATATTGTATTATTTACAAGTGATCGTGGCCTCGCGGACGCCAACATCGCATAATTGATAAAGGATCGTGGCTTCGGTGAACCGAGCATTGTATACTGCATATGGGGTCGTGGCCTCGGGGGATCTCGGGGGCGCGAACATTTTGCAATTTACAGAAAGGATCGCGGCCTCGGAGAAGCAACAATTGAGAATTTGAAAAGGATCGGGGAGGCGAACACGGCGTAATGTTCAAAAGGGATCGTGGCTTCGGGAAAGCGAATCCACCGCAATTTACGAGGGATCGTGGCCTCGGGGACGCTTGCCTGGCGTAATTGTTGGCCGAGAGCATGCTATGATTTACGGAGGATCGTGAAGTTTCGGAAGCGCGAACATTCCGTGATTTACGAAGGATTGTGGCCTAGAGGACGCGAGCGTTGCTTAAATTACGAAGGATCGTGGCCGTTGGGGTCGCGAATCGATGTATTTGTACGTGTCCCGCGGCCCCGCAGGAATTCAGGCAGCGCGATTTGGGGGTGCAGAAGTTGGGAGTAGCGAGCCGAAGCCACGCAGCTTGAAGACCCCGCAACGGGACCAGCGGATATACACATATACGTGTTCTTATATGTATATATAGATACATAGATTTGAATGTGTGCCTGTACACACATATATGTATATGTATATATATATATAGATACATATAAGTACATGTGCATAGCATCATGCAAAAATACATGCATTGATATACACATACATACCTATATGCCCACACACCTATCCACCCACCCACCCACTCACCCACGTACATGCGTGCATGCATGCATGCATACATGCATGCGAGTTACAAACAACACGCACACATGTAAATAGTGCGAAGGCCTTCCGACTGGTGCCGCCATCCTGAAAGGGAGACAACGACGACGACAATGGCGGTGGCGGCGACGACGACGACGACGCTGACGCGGGCCAGAGTCCTCAGGGATGCTTCCTAGGTTCTCTTAGGAAGGTTCCTGGGGGCCTCTGGGCAGGAATTCTGGGGCCTCTCGGGAGCCTCTTGGGGGCCTCTTGGGAGCATCTTGCTCTTGTGGGCCTCTTGGGAACCTCTTGGGGCCTCCTGGGAGCTTCTCAGGGCCGAGGGCTCGAACTTTGCGCCTCCCGCCCTCCAGAGGAGTCGTGCGACGAGCCCCCCCCCCTCAAAGTCACGCGACTGGCACCCCCCCCCCCCCCAGGGTGGGTCGCACCGCGCGCCTCCGCAGTCTGGGGACCCTGGACGACCTGAGTGAGGACACGCCACCTCCTACTGCTCCTTCGCCTCCTCGTCCTCCTCCTCCTCCTCCTCCTCCTCGTCCTCCTCCTCCTCCGCCTCCTCCTCCTCCTCCCTCTTCCCCCTGAGTTGATTGACTGCACGAGTGCGGCCCAAGACTCTCGATCAGCCGCAGAGCGGCGGGCGGGCTGGCAACGAAACATCCAGAGGCGGCCCTGTCGAAGGCGAAGGAGCACCTGGAGGACGTCGTCCAGAACATCGGGTCCTCGGACGTCATTGCAGCGGACATGGACGTGAAAGACAAGGCTGAGAGCCACTCATCACGCCCACATTCTTCCCATCCTCGCACCCTCTGTCGTCTTCGTCCCCGAGCCTCGGGCGTCACGATCCATGAGCCTGCGCCGAGTCGGACGATCCCGCCGGAGAGGGAAAGGTTGAGAGTTTAGTTTGTTCTGCTGGTGTTCATGAAGGCGTACACACTGATCGCCGGAGGATCGCGCCGCATCGCCGATGCGTCGGCGATGCGGCTTGATGCGTAGCTCGATTTTCTCCACGCCGACGTCGCCGATGCATCGCCCACGTCGCCAGTGTATCGCCAATGCATCGGCGACGCATCGCCGATGTATCGCCGATGCGGCGCGATCCGCCGCCCCACCTGCCCTGACCCCACCTGGGAGGCCTCTGGCCAAAGACGGCGGCGAGAAGCTGACACCGACTACGGCAGCGGCGCCGCCGCCGCCGACGGCGGCGGCGGCGCCGCCGACGGCGACGACGAAGGCGAGGACGACGACGACGACGACGACGACGACGGCGACGACGACGACGACGGCGGCGGCGGCGACGACGCCGACGGCGACGACGAAGGCGAGGGCGACGACGGGGACGACGGAGGCGACGAGGCGGCTCCCCCTCCACGCGGGCGCCCTGTGGCTCTCCGCGGCCCCTCCTGGGGCCGCCTGCCTGCTGGGAGCGCGAGGCCACTGCCTCGGACCACTTCGGGGCCCCGCGGGCCGCCACGTGGCCCCCGTCCCGGGCTCGCTTCGAGCCCTCCGGGTTGAATTCGATTCGATGTCGACGGATTCCGATTCCGGTTCGATGCGACCTCGGATTCCGATTCGGAGTCCGATGTCTCAGTAGAGGCCTACTGACCCGTCGATTTCCGCCGATTCGAGTTCTCCCGGCTCGGCTGCCGATTTCCGCCGATCCAACTCGTTTCGATCGCCGATCCGATTTATCGATTCAATTATGAGCCCTCCTGCCTGTCCCCCTCGAATCGCGCAACAAGCAGGGGCTGTGGCCCAGGATGAGATCTTTCTGGGGATGCCAGTGACACACGTTCGGTCCTTGCGGTTGTAAATATCATCGTCGCAGCAAAGCAACATACAGGGAACGGCTTGGAGAAGGAGCACCTACTTTTCAAAAAGGGCTCGGTCGTTCCTTAGGCTTACATGCGTGCATGCGTTATCTATCGTTCCTTATGCGTTATTGATTAATTATCGTTCCTTACCCGTTACTCCTTGAAAAAAGGGCCTCGTTCCTTATTCATCGTTTCTTAGGTCAGGCCGATGACTGTATAGCGGAGTCCAGCACCGACATCGTGCCTGGATGCAGAAAAAAGGGGCTGCTTGCGGAAGAACGCTCCTGCTTCACATGATGAATCAAGATTTGTAGAATAATCAGGTTTCGACCCACATGGGAAATGCCATCCCGGGCCAACACACGCCTATACAATACATATTTTGGTCCCTGAACGATATTTCTGATGGAGACAAGTGCAACGTCAAGGGACTGAGCCGAACGAAGAAGGATAACGCTGAGCCTCAAATGCTAATAGCGAGATTCAGCCCCTTCTTTGAAACAGCCGAGAGAATGATCGATGAGGCGGTGAATCGCTCCAAGACGGGGGCAATCCAGATATTTTCTGTTGGTGGGGATCATCGATGTTTGCAATCGGAAAATGGTACATTCAAGGTGAACGTCATGTGAGATTGCATTGCCACTTTGCTGCGGGCACGCATGAATCAGCGCGCTGAACGGTACAAGGCTGCGGGGATTCAGCCTAGAATGATGATTTGGATGGCGTTTGCTTGTATCGGAAATTGCGTCATACCCGTTCGATACATACAATTTTGTCGACCACCATGAATCTTACACATTGGACAAAAATGGTACAGTGGTAAGGGTTGCTGGGGGTGAACTACTGGCGGATCACATGATGGAAGCAACAAAATTTGCGGCCTGGTTCTTCTGTCAGCCCTCTGGCGGCTCAGCCGCCCAGGGGTGGATCTGCGAAGATGAGTTGCGAGAAGACGGGCTTGCGAAGGTAGAAACTACATATGACGAACATGTGTCGCATTGGACCAACTGGTGTCCTACTGAGGACGGCACTCCTACTTCGATGTGGGGAACGTTCCCTGATGTGGGGAACGTTCCCTGTCGCTGAGCCACTTTTGCAAAGATCATTCCCTGCCGCCGCGACTGGTGCAGGACATGGGGCGCGACAGCCCATGTTTTCCCAAGAATGGCGAGATTTCATTCCGAAGGGAAGAGGGCATCATACGCATTTGCAATGGACCATTTCTTTCTCGAAAGGAGCTTGCCATACATTCTTGGCATGCCCTCTGAGGGAAGAGACGCGCGGCGTACTGGGGAAACGATCCTCGTTGATCAACTTATGCAGCAAGCGATCGATATTTTGGAAGCGTGTCAACCTAGCTTTCAGTCCCCCGCCCAGTATGCCAAACGGACGGCAGGGCGAGCCTCGGGGGGGCAGCCCGTAACTAGGCAAGCTGATCAGTTGCAAGTCAGCCCCGGAGTAGCGGTGTCAACCGCGGGCTCTGCCGGCACAGCCGCGCAGCAGAGTCCGGGCGACGCAGGGGGGCTTGATGGACCTGGCACAGCCACGAGCCCCATCAAGCAGCGGGCGCGGACAGCCGAACTTATCAGGGCACTGGCCGCTGTTTCCCCCGCGGTCCATTGGGGGCGAGCAATAAAATAAAAGTGCCCCGAGTTCAAAGGAACACTGCTGGGCAAGAAAAAGAAGCAATTCCCCCCAGTTGAGCCCGATCATGCTCGCAGATGGCCTATCAAGTTGCCACATCAGTCAACGACTTGGAGCGACTGCGGGAACTGAGGGAACTGAAAGAGTCATCTTCCCGAAGCGCTTGAATGCTAGAGAGCTGGCGAGACGCCTCTATCGCAAGAATAAATAGTGGCCAGGAAAAAAACGATGATGAATTGTTGCGGGAGATAAGGAGCAATGAAACATTCGTGCGTAGTGAAGCTTACAAGCGCTTGTGTGCGCCATCGAACGGAGAAGCGTGGTTGGCAGATCGATTGGTCCAGGACAGTACGAAGCGACCGATTCTGTCTGCTGAAAATGCGATCCCGAATTGGGCAACATTCTTCACTGCACGACGTGATCGCGGGAACCAAAAACGATTGTTGATCGCACCATGTGGGAAGAGGCAGCAATTATTGAACACGCAGAGAAAGAGCAATGTGTCCAATTGGCGCCACCTCTCAGAGTGAATGAGGATAGATTGGAAGAGTTGATTTCTGACAAAAATTGGACAAGGCAGTCCCGCGGAAAATCCGCTGGGACGCTCCATTCAGTTCTGGAAGGTCGGACCCCGAGCACGAGGGAAATGTGAAGAAGACAAACGTTGGAATATATCCCTTTGCGTACCCTGACAATAATCCTTCAACCCGCGCGCGATAGGCGATGGCGGAAGAAACTTTCAATGATGGGCGTTGGAGCATTGTGGAGATTGTATTGTGGAGTCGTCCGAAGCCCGTTTCTGGTGGAGGTTGTCCAACGCAACAATGCATTGAACATACCGATCAGGTAGTGATGATTGAGATGCGCATTTACCATTGGCACCCCGCCGCGTTCTTTGCGAACGGGGGTGGCTCCTGGGCGCCAGCGCGAAATTCATTGGAAGACGGCGTAGCTGTGGACAAAGAATGCAACGTTGAACCGAAACGTCCGCCGCCTAAATCAGCCACGCCTCCCGTGCCTTTTTCCCCACATTCAAAGTGGGGTTCTTGTTTTCTCTGGACACCCCGCGCAGGAACCAAAACCAGAACACACCTACAACATGACACACTCATCACTCATCATCATCACCATTCCCAGCATTATCATCATCATCAACGCCATCGTCATGCGATCGCCCACCATCACCATCACCATCAGCATCATCATCATCCTCATCATCACTCATCACCATCAGCATAATCCCCTTCGTCACCCACTCACTCATTCATCACTTCGTCATCACACACTCGTCTGTGAGTGAATTACGAAGAACTCTCAGGCGGGAGCCTCGTCTGTGACTGAATTGTGAGGAAGTCTCAGGCGGGAACCCCCTCCCTATGGGGCCCGCAGATCATGTTACTAATCCGAGCGGGTCATCCGCAACGTTTAACTGTCGTCAGTTTTGGGCGCTTCGGGCTTGAATATACAGGAAGTATCGAGCGGGGGCCTCGTCTGTGAGTGAATTGCGAGGAAGTCTGAGGCGGGAACTCCTCCTTATGGTGCCCGCAGATCATGTTACGAATTCGAGCGGGTCATCCGAAACGTGTAAATGTCGTCATTTTTGGGCGCTTCGGGCTTGAATATGGAGGAAATATCGAGCGGGAGCCTCGTCTGTGAGTGAATTGCGAGGAAGTCTCAGGCGGGAGCCCCTCCTTATGGGACCCGCAGATCATGTTACGAATCCGAGCGGGTCATCCGCAACGTGTAACTGTCGTCATTTTTGGGCGTGTCAGGCTTGAATATGAAGGAAGTATCGAGCGGGGGCCTCGTCTGTGAGCGAATTGCGAGGAATTTTCAGGCAGGAACCCTCTCCTTATGGGACCCGCAGATCATGTTACTAATTCGAGCGGGTCATCCGCAACGTGTAACTGTCGTCACTTTTGGGCGTTTCAGGTTTGAATATGAAAGAAGTATCGAGCGGGAGCCTCGTCTGTGAATGAATTGCGAGGAAGTCTCAGGCGGGAACCCCTCGTTATGGAACCCGCAGATCATGTTACTAATCCGAACGGGTCATCGGATTCTACCAACTGTCGTCACTTGGAGGTCTGAGGACCGATTATCGGACCGATTCGGAGGATCGAAGGGGAACTCGCACGGAGGTGCCTCATCCCACTCGCGGCACGATCGGGGATGATGACGCATCATGATGGTGGGTCCCGCAGCTACACGAGTCCTCGGTTTTCGTACCTGTCGTCACTGTTGTGCTCTGAGGAGGAGGAGGAGGAGGAGGAGGAGGAGGAGGAGGAGGACAAGGACAAGGACAAG